CAGGGAAATAAAAGAATAGAGAGAAGAAGCTGCCCCGCGGACAACGACATACAACGGCATCTCTACATCGATATCGACCGGCATCATACCGTATTCCTGACCGGACGTGTAAATCGTCCCGTCGTCGGCCATCCACTGATCCACCTGGACGAACTCGGACACGAAGCTCGGTATTTTGCATTTCATGATCGCGCTGTTAGCTCGGATCACGTATTCGTTCTCGGCTTCGGTAACGTAGAACTGCGAAACCACTGCCGGCAATGTGTTAACTCTCTGAGATACGGTGAGAAATAAATCGTTTCTTTGAATAAATTTGACAGTTTAATTAGTTATAACGATGAAATTTAAACGATTAATTTAGATTACTTTATATGAAATAAATCAATCGATCAAATAAAAATTTAAAATGTTTTTTGTCATTCATTCACAAGAAATATCTTATTGTGCACGTCGTAAAACTCCTTTTGTGTACATTCTTGTAAAAATGTATGCTTCAAAGAGTTAAATAGGCGGATCGACGGAAAATAAAATACGTCTTGAATAATAGGATCGTAAGAGAAAAAATACTAATGTGTTACTTTTGGTTAACAACGTTAGTAAACATAAATAAGCGACAAATACTTTCCACAGCGAATTGTATATGTATATAGATATAGAATTAGGTTCAAAAAAATTCAAGTAAAATTCATTACAATTGTAATGGCTAACTGATTTTACTAGGAATCCAGAAAAATTATTAATATTTTTAATTTATAAATTATTTTTTAATTAAGAAAAACAGGGGTTATTGTAAATTCCAGAGTCCTACTAAATTCTTGAGTTACTTATTTTACAGGTAAACTTTTCTATTAAATAAGAATAAACATATTAAACATCCTAATCCATATACAAATTTTCAGTGGGATGCTTAAAATAATTAAGAACCGCCCAATGGGATTTGTAGTACCCTGTGCGACCGTAAGATCCGTCGGTAGATAGACCTCGCCATCTTCGCGAATCCATGCTTCGACAGTAACAAATTCTGCGATGTAACTGGGGATGCTGCATTTTAATATCGCGCTGTTTCCCCTTATAACGTATTCGGTCAAGATCTCCGGATTGTAAGGCTGAGTGACGACTATATGTGGGGGATATATATTAAAATAATGTTCAATTTAATCAATACGAAAGGTCGCTTTGTTTAAAAATAGCCCCCGTTGTGTGTGGAACGGAATATGTTGATCGCTTTTAATTTTTCATATTATCTGTAGATGAAAAATTTTCCTCAAGTAAGTTGCAAGAAAAAAATTAGACGTTAATAAACAAGAAAGTTCAAGCTTTTTAGAAAAATAAATCAAGAATAAACAATATTTTTATTAAAACAAAAAACAATTGAAACTATAGGAGTAATTTGAAAACTTTCTGTATCATGATGCTCCATAGATATTTTGGTATATCGAAAATAGTGCGAAAAAAGCCATAATAACGCAAATCAAATTTCAAGAAAGTATCCCTTCTATCTTCTCGCACTTGACATTATTTTATATTGTCAAAATATGCTTACTGGACTTTGACATTACACCATGCTGAAATGAGAATTCAAGAACTTTTCCTACGCAACTTCTCGAACTTAGCTGGCGTTCAGAGTAGACACGATGTCGGCTTATTTTCTTAGGCCTATCGTAATTCGCGGCGTGAGAGCCACCGGATGGTTCATTAACTCTCACGTATATATGTGCTGCCGCCGCCGTTCAGCCGCCGTCAGATCAGACCGCGTGGCCGGCGGAAACGAATCGTTACCACGTGCCACTTTGAACTTTGACAAAGTTAGGCGAGGGGACAGGGTGTCTGAGTAGCAGGGAGAGACAGGGGTGATATAACCGGAAAGAGAATTTCCTCGCTCTGCGTACTCATCGTATGTACTTATTGGCCGACGTACTCATCAGCGATCATCATACAAATTGTATAATGCTTGCACATACTATAAATTAATTGCTTCAAAGTAAATAGAATAATTTATTAACTAAATAAGTGCCAATTACGCTCAAATATATTGGACTAATACATGTATATATATTATAAATAAATTTTTATCTCAAAAATATGATTGCGCGTCGATTAAAATAATTTATCCAGTCTCGTACAAATGCATTTTTATAAAAAAAAATCTGCAAAAATTTAATAAAAATATCAAGAAAATCTATATTGTAAATATTTTTTTTTATAATAAGTTCTCCACTTCATATATGGTATATTGGCTATATAGCAATGGCCGTATTCAGCAGAATGTTTATTTTGCAACTGTTAAAAGTTCTCTTTGCATAGATTAGATTATATTTTTAGATTTAGAAAAATAGTTTTATCTCAGTAAAGAAAACTTCAAACGATTATAAAATAAATATTTATTATAAGTGATATCAATTTTCTTCAGTTAGATGAATGAAAGAGACATAGAAATAGGAGGGAATAAATATCTTTCCAGCGTATCATCTCCGTCAGGATTCTGTTCTAGAAGGAATAATAAGAGAAAAGTGCCGCTGGATGCAGAATAAAAACACGTATGTATTTACGTGTATCATACCGTAGTCAGTAGACGGTCTGAAGGTCGAACCGTCACTTCCCACCCACGATTCGACCGATACAAATTCGGCGACAAAGCTCGGTATGGTGCATTTTAAAATAGCCGCATTTCCACGTATCACGTATTCCGATACAACTTCCGCCTCATAATACTGAGTCACGACTGCAAAAGGTAATGGCGTATTATAATAGCGCATTGTATGGCTGTACATCACATATCGCGTGCTTTCGAACATTGCGTTACATTGTTGCGTGCCTAATCGAGAAGAAACATTTTTCTCGATTCAGGACACTGCATAACATTTTTTTAATTATCATGACGTACACATCGCTGTAGACAATGCTTTGTTACGCATGTTTACTCAATTATTCCTTAGAAATGAAACACATTTCTCTGGAGAAAATTAGGTGATTACGATCAAAGAGATTACAACATTAGAGTTGTACTCCAGCAGCTAGCATTATACAATTTGATTCTATGCTTCACCATATAATTATGGAAACTGGTTCTTAGATAGTAGATAGAAGTTTTAAGGATTCGATTTACCCGAAAAATTGCATTAGTTACGCAGTCTTAAATAAAATCAAATGTTTATGCACTCGTGTCCCAACCATTATTTAAATACAAATTAGCAAGTTCGATATACGTTTTAAAAAGTTATATTCTTAAATTAATTATTCTTCAATTAATTTAAATGAAATATCAGTCACAGTTTTGCGGTATATGATATATAATCAGATGAAAAAAATTATATCGCGTCTCTCGAACACGACATCGACGACGTTGACCATCAGTTCATCATTCGCTGCCCACGCGGGTTCCGACTTTCCAAATTTCCTAAAAGTTTCAGACTGTACCGTTATCCTGATCCGGATCAAAAGAATTTCCCTGATCGTCCTGCCAACCAATAACCTGAACGAATTCTGCGACGAAGCTCGGTATACTGCACTTGAGAATGGCCGCGTTGCCGCGTATTACATACTCATTGTTGACCTCGGATTGATAATACTGATGTACCACTGCAATAAATGATCGAAATAATCTATGCAAGCCCGATTTGTCTACTAACGATAACAATGACGACTCGTATCGGTTTTACTTTCATCATTGGAAATACATTTAACAGAATATCGTATTTTGTAATCGCTTCAAGTTGCTCTCGACTCTCTTTGACATATTATTTTTACACACAGTACGAGATATACATTCATAAAAGGTTTTTTTTCAAATATAAATTAATTTTCGAAAATCGAATGAAATGTCGACGACGTTGACGGCAGCTTTGGGCAATATATTTCGCCATTGCTCCGCGAGCAGAATTATTGTCGTATCTTATGTCGGCAATCTATAATGGTATATACGATCGATTGACTTTGCATGCGTGCATATATGCATATGTACATATACTGGATGCCTCGACACAACATTCTAAAAAAGGGTTTAAACAAAACTAAAAATTTCTTTCGCTCTTATGAAATTACATTTAATTGTAATTACGAGAACAATTATTACGTAATTAACGTACTAATTGTTTTTGTATTTTTATGAAATACTAGATAAGTAATACAATGAGAGATACATTAATATTATAGATAAAAATTAATTTAAAAATATTATAAAAATTCTTGTTATTATTTCTATTATTATTACGATCAATTAGCGTTGTTATTATTAATTTTTAGAACAGGAAAAAGGAAACACAGACTAAAAAATAAATATTATTATACGAACTGTCGGATTTAAAATACATAGACGGCGCGTCAGAAGTGAATATTCGGGTTTAATAGAAAAATGAAAGAGATAGCTGACAATGGTTAAATATCCAATCGTTTCAGTTAATACATTAGATATATCGTATTGGATACAACGTTAACGAGATAAATGTGACGATGCATGCATATAAATATATATGTATATGTATATATGTATGTATATGTATATATATATATATATATAGATATGTATATAGTTATATACACATATGCTGGCCGTGGAAAGTGAACGACCCATATACTTTCGCGTTGCAACGTTCCAAATAGATTTGCATTTTGCTACCGTAGCAATTGAGATCAATATATGAGAAGCGGCCGAGTCGCACGGATGGTGTCAGTCACTCAACCGAACGACACGATGCATTTGTGCCCTCGAACTGAAATATATGACCGGACAATAATGACATTATCTCTTAATTGTCTCTATGCGAGGGGGCATAACCGAATTGGAAAATTCATCTTTTATCTTCTTTTTAAATGCATTTATGAAAAGGTCAAATGTGAATTTTGATTATATAAAACTTGAGATATCTTTTTTAAATAATTATAAAATCCACAATTTTTAATTTTATATCGATATAGATCAAAGATACGACAAAATGTTCTGCTCGCAAGGAGATAAGGAGATCGGTTAATTCACTAATCATAAATCCTAATTCTGTTTATACCAAAATCATCGCCAGGCACGAATTCCTCTCCCTGATCCGTATGCCAGGATAGAACTTTGACGAAATCGGCGACGAAAGAAGGAACGACACATTTCAAAATGGCACTGTTCCCACGGATCGCGTATTCTTTATTGACGTCGGTGTCGTAATACTGCGCCACCACTATAATTTCGTACACACAATGACATTCACAATACGTCGGAAATTATTTTGCTCCAGCCTCAACGGCTCCAAGAAAATATAAATATTTTTTTGTAAATATATATTTAAAATATATATTTTTCTTTAAAATTAACTTTCTACCTCTCTATTAATACACTAATCTTTAAAATGTATATGTCACTATATTTGAAATTATATGTAATATTTTTAATAATTAATAATATAATATTTTTAAATAATATAATATCTTATAGGACCGTATATAGTGTGCGATAACATAAATTATAGAAATCAATGCCTTAAATGGTCTAATAATATTTTAAAATAATTATTGTTATTTATTGTTACTTTGTTTATCTAAAAAATTCATTTTAGAAATTTGTAAAGAATGAATTATATTTAAACGGTAAAAGATAAGAATGCAACTGGAAACTGTGTTGCGGTCGATAAAGCACAGTGACGTCAGATTTAATGACATCACTATATGATATGTGATTCAGAAGCATTTTTAGTTTCACACGAACAGTACGATGACATCACTTAAAATTGGATTACATCGATCACGCAAAGAGCAATTTCTTAATTACTTGCGAGCAGATTGAGACTGGAGGAATCGAATATATTTTTCGCATAAACGGCGGCGGCAGATTGTAACATATTTAAAGGACAATATCTAGCATCGAACTACTGCATCATCTGATTGACACCGATATCTTTGATCGAGTTTTTTCAAAGGACCTCGGATATAATGTAGAAGAAATAGTAAGCACCAAAAAGCGTGCTTTTTCGCTGAAAAGAATAATTTTTATATTTTCCAATATTTAGCCATCTTATTAAAAAAATTCTATCTAAAAATATAATTTTAATCTTAAATGTGTGTGTTATATACATATGTCTATTGCAAAATTAATTCAAAATTTTTAAGTAAAAATTTCTAGAGCTTAAGATTACATTAAAATATTGCAATGAAGTATCTAATAAAAATTTTAACTTAAAATAATTTTTATTTTTACACACAGAATATTCCTGCAATTATTGACCTATAGTTTTAATATTTTTTGTCAAACTGAAATAAATGTTAAAAATTCGAACTATTTCCTTTCATCTTTATAATTTTAATTGTATTTTAATAACATCAATTCATTTTGATATTAAATGCAAAGAAAGCTAAGTTTCTATCAGAAATCGATCTCAAATTCGAATTTACTTAAATTTAAATTTAAAGGTACTCTTTATTTTTTGAACATCCTATATAAAATACTATAGATGGCTAAATGATAAATGCAAAGATGATGGATAAATGTAAAGATTGACACTTACCGGCTCTCACGTTGACATCACGACTGTGTACCGAACCTGCAGGAGAACGTGCTAAACAGGTATAGACCTGAGCGTGAACTTCTTGACGATAATCTTCAGCACGGAAAGGAGGGAACACCAAATTTCCATTCGGCATAACCTACGAAGGGCCAATAACTATAGAATGTAGAAACTAAATTATAAATTATACGTAATAATGCCCGCAGTATAAAGCTTAGGAATAATTAAAACGTCCTTCGCGATCATGTGAATGAATGTGGGATGGCATGGGCGTTTAATAATTCCATTCACATATTGCAGATAAGTATTTGATACTGAAACTAGTAATCGGAAGCTATTTTGACAAATAGTTCATCGTCCCACACGTGAAAGAAAAACCTTTGTTCAATTTCATATGGTGCAGTTGACTAATTGTAAATCGCACCGACGCGACGCGACGATTAAATCGTACCACCATTGTATTTTCTAAACGAAATATTGAGTCTTTTTAAGATAACTTATTAAAAATTATTCATAAATATTATTTGTTAAATTTTAAAAAAATTTAGATTCTTTTTGTAAAAACTAATAATTGTTTATTAAAAGTACGGTTGAAGAATCCAGTGGTACAATTTAATGATCCGGTCTTCAAATCGTATTAAAAGCTTATACTTTTTTAAAATCTTATTTTGAACAAATTTTAATCTCTTTTCTTCTCTCGTATTACCGACTAAAATACGTACAATTTTTGTATTGCGAATACTCTTTTTCTCTTTCACGGATTCGAAAATCCTTTTCCAGGATTAAAGTATACGCATTAATACGTGACTGTGAATTGGAGTCTACGCTGAGAATGATCAAAAATTTCGAAATCGATATATTTTTTACCATTTCTTAGTGTAACATGGCGTCTCAGCTGTCAAGTCGTGACAACATTTGCTTGATATGAAAGTTTTGCAACCTGTACGTACGAAATAACGTGATTCACAGTCACGTAATTTGCACAAATATACAACGTCGAGTTTTCAGAATTAAATTTAGACGCTTTATCGCGATGAATTCGCAATACGAAAATTGACACGTACGTGTGACTGCGTGTATCATAGGCTGCGTGAGATATTGCTGTGGTAGTATAAAAAGACATGTCGATGTGCGGCGCGCGGCGCGACATCTAGTGATTTTTCGGAGTTCGAGCTTTGGTTTAGGATCCCCTTAAGGAGTACAATATAGGCAACTTTCCCCTACAATTTTTAATTAAGAACATTCATTTTGCTAACATTAATAGAATAGAAAAACAGATGCTGTATGCATGCGCATTTATTTTAAAACAATTTGATAAAACCTCTAAAAAATCATGAATTTCTCTCGATATCACTTTTAAAACTTATTCAATTGACACTTTAATTGCGAAAACAAATTAAAATTTGACACAATACCTGTCTCAATCCAGGAACGTCTCCTACAGCAGTATTTCCATCGGAACGGACCCAGATGATATCTGGTTGTGGATTTCCTCTTGCCTGACATTCAACGACGGCTCCAGTTCCATTTGAGAAATCAATCCGGTTCGGAGGTTCCTTGACAAACACCGGTCCCATAGATGCATCTTCGGCAGAAATAACTGCAAGCAGAATGCAAAAGTTTTCATGATCATGCACAAGCGCTTATATTATTTAACTTATTTCGGAAATATACAATTTCGATCCTTCACACGATCCAATTGTTCGTGTTCTCAGCATCTTTTCCTTGAAACATTAGAAACAGCTAAATAATAATCTATATTCTTTTCCTAAAAAAAGTTTTGGTATCTAGTAAACAAACTTTGTACGTTGTCGACTCTCATTCCTGTGTATCTTCCAACGACAATGTTTCGGAAATTTTCCTTAGGACACGAAATACCCATCATGTGTAGAGGGTAACTTTTTTGCAGCTAAATTTTTTTTATTCTTATTTAATTCTCATTTATATTGTAAAAATTCTATGAACTATTAAAAAAAAATTGAAAATGAACCAATTTACGTTGATTATTACAAATAATATTTAAAAAATATAATAAATATTGAATTTAAAATATTCAAATAAAAATTAAAAAATATTTTTTCTAATTAGTTGTAACTTTTTGTTTTTAAAATAATAATTTTAAGATAGTAAAACATATTTTTTCTTTAAACATTTTTGTTTCAATGTTTTTATATGAAAAAATGCATTTTTTCTCATTTTGCTTATAATTAGTTATAACATTTATATACAATTTTTTTGTAAATGTATAACTTTACATGTATTTTCTAAAAATATCAAAGTATATGTAAAAATTTATACAATAATTTTTATGTACTTGTAAAAAGTGATGAAAATTAACTCAGGGTGATAGATTCCCGTCGTATACAAAGTTGCCAAAAACTATCATGTTTATTAAGGGTTAAAATGTATCTTTTCACACACACACACAAGACGAATAACTAATTTTTTAGGAATTATTTTTTAAAATTGTAAGCGACAAGTCACGACTTCTTTGTAAAGATTAAAGTAATTTCTTTGTAAGGATAATAGAGCTAATTTAATACAAAGACTGCAACAGAGTTTTTATTGCGAAAAAGAAATGTTTCGTGGACAGAACGAAATGTAAGGGACGCTTAATAGCTTGTGGGAACATTAGCACGAAGCCAATTAATTTAAAGTGTCACGAGCGACGAGACGTTTTGTCTCGTGTCTTCGGGTTTCGCTTATCATTCGTTTCAACCAGGATATGCGACACCCACATTCAATTGGCGCATTGCCAATTGCAGCAAACAACAGGTTGTCAAGTCTGTTATTGAATAATATGCGATCAACGTCACGTGACCATAAGGGAGACGACAATGCGTGATTCCTTTTCCGTCGTGGCAAGCTGCGCTCTTCGACTATGTCAGTACCATCGGTAGCGACAAGTTATAGCCATTGATGGCAACTTAAGTGACATTGACTGTAAATTTATTGCAAATGCACGTTCCATATTTCATAAGAAACGAAAGAATCACAAACAGTTTCCGTGCAATTATTTTTCGATACAATAGCTGCGTTTAACAGAGAATTTGATTCTTGCCTTTAATTCTTCGCTAAATCTATGTATAGGAACCAATCGTATTAAAGAATTATTAAGCGCTAATTAATTAGTTTTCTCTGCTAAACGCAGCCAATGTGTATCTATAAGCAGTTATATCACATAATTGAAAGGTTTTTCACAAATACTAATTAAATTCACTTTTTATAATCTGAATTATAGCACCAAATCGTTATCTAGTAACGTTAAATCGTGAACAATTTTATCCAAGCAAGAATCGAATAAAAAACGGAAAATTGAGAATTTAATATTTTCAAAAGAACAATTTATAAATAAATTTTGTAAATAAAAAGTGAATTTATTACATTATACTTTAAATAATATTTTCTCTTTTATCTTTAATGTTGTTCATCATATAAGTATTATTATTAGTGCTATAGAGAAAGATAGATATAAAATATTGATAGAGTTGGCGTTTTTCTCTCTCTCTTACCTAGATGGTTTATTCGTATAATATAATATCCCTAAAAAAACCTCTTTCAAAAAGAAGAAATATACGCCAAGTGTATAAAAAAGGTATCGAAAGTTTATTATAGGGGTATATATCTCTCTCTCTCTCGTACTGCACAATTTTCGCGCACGTAGCCACCTACTACTGATTCACCGCGACAGGGATCGCGGCGAAGCGAGAGCGTATATAAACCTGGCACAGTATAAAATCAAGTTACGAAGAACCGGTTGGCGAAGCGTGCGCCATTGGAGCAAGTAGGTAGGATACATATATAGGTATAAAGGACAGGTGTTCCGAATTTTTGTCGTGAATACGCCCCTTCTGCTATAGGCGAACCTCGGCTCACATAACTACAGTTTTATGTCGCCTATTCTTGCCCTCCTCTAGCTTTCCCGATTCATTTCTAACAAAATTTCTCAAGTAAATTGCATTCAATTGAAGCAGATAACAAGAAATATTAACTTTTTACTTTTTTTGTGAATACAGCGGGTTACAACTTACATTTCTTTTCTTTTCTTCACGAAGAAATGATTTTGCTAAAGTATTCAAAAACTTAGCTAGATATACAGATTGGGAAATAATTTTGTTGGATCATCAAGATACTTATGTGAGATGTTCGAGCTTGTTGCTGGAATGTCAAAATTTTTTGCAGCATTGTTCATTATCGAGTTCATTATGACTTTGGCAAAAATAAAAATCGGAACATAAGTCGAATACAAGGGTAGAATTATTTTGATGGTTGAATAAAATTATTCAGATCTGTATCTAGCAACATTTTTAGATATTTCAGCAAAATTATTCTTTCTGTGTTTCTCTCCTTTCAGCTTCACCGCAGATATCCTCTTTCTTCTTTTTTCTCACATCTCTTTTCCCTTCCCTTAAATCTTTGCACATTGACAGTTACAATGGCGTCAGGTCATCGAAAGAGTTGAAAGGATTATATCAACGTAAGGGTATTACAATGATTAACAATGTGCGTAGGGCAATTTCAATGGTGATTGTGCATTTACGTCGAAGGGTTACATTATTTATACGTTCTGTGCGGCACGTGCACGTGCACGGTGCAACAATGGCTCGGGGTAGAGAGTACTGTTGCGGCTATCCGTACAACGCAACGTGGCGGATTGCTGCTGTACGAGCAGATATCGATCGCAGAAGTGGTATGTAAAACTTTTTTCCCGAGATTAAACTCTTACGCATCGATGAAAGACAAGATTCTTCCCGGTCGAGAACCGCTCTGTAATCTATATATAGCGATAGCTTCGAAACGTCCGGACATGCTGCATCGAATATATTTCCAGCGTGCACATACGCGCACGCGTATCGCCACACGTGTGACTCACGTGTGTGTTCATCTGCTCGCACGTTTGTGTGTATGGGTGGATATGTAAGCGTAAAATTCTGTGACGTGCATAATAAAGAGAAATGTCAAATCGGTCAGTCGAAACCATAAGTCGGCGAAGGTGTCGAAAAAACGAACCGACTAAGTGTATAGTCTTTCGATGGAATTTTTGTTTCGAATTTCCATTAATCAAGAATTAAAATTTAATGAACGCCTATGCTGGCGCAATATTTTCATTTTAAAACTGCTACGCTTTGCAAAAGGTCATGTTTTTTCAAGATAACAGTTTTTTTGATTGTTTATTTATCATTTAACTAAATAAAAGAATAATTTAACTTTCATTTAATTTAACTTAAACTTAAATTTAATAATAATTTAAAGAATTAATTATTTTAAAGAAATAATATAGAATATAATTTAACTTAATTCTATATATATTAATCTCATTAATTCTGCAATATTCTTTAGTTGTCTCTTAGGAAATCCCAGAATTAACAATCAGAATCTTTAAAATTGTTATTAAAATTATATTTTATTAACGCACATTGGTACGCGAGGGTGGACATACAACTTGTATGCGTAGGTGGAGGAAGTGTGAAGAAATTCTTAAACCTCTTGTTCTTTCAGGTCGTATACGGCTTCTATAAGTACGTCTATTTCTGTTACTTCCTGTGAGATAACAAAATATGTTTTTTTTAAGTCTCACTTCCTCAAATTCAAGTGCGGACAATACAAACTTCAATATTATTTTCAATGCAATTTACATTCAACAAAATATAATGTAAAATTAGGATTACAAACATGTAATATACAATTTCTGTCGTTTACGTATTTGATATTTATAATATCGACAAGTTTATAATTAACATTGTTTGTCTCTCACAATTGTATTGAAATTCAGAATGTGTCGTGTACGTCCGATTTCACAAATTTTCAATAAAACTGAGTCATGAATTTCATTCTTTGTTATAATTATCAATGAAATTCGTATGATCTCTTTTTAATTATTCGAAACTTAAAGCTGAATTAGAAGCATCGTGAATACTCCAATTTTATGCTCACTTTTCATCAACAAATGAATAGTAACGCAGATTCCGTATACATAATAGGCGGATTCACCTGGTGGTGAGTGCAATTCTTCTTCAAGTATGATGTGAGCCTGCATTCTGGGAACAGCAGCTGTTCCTTTCCCTCCCGATCTCTTCGTCCCCTTCATCTTAATCTCTCCTCCGACAGCTGCACTTCGAGATCCGCTCGAATTTATACCTCGGAACCTTTCACGATCCCAACTAACCGTCTGTTCGGTTCAAAACGTGGACACGAAATTATGTCAAAAAAGAAGAAGCAGCGGGACCGTTATAACGAATCACAACGAATAGAACTAAAATCGTTTGATTTTAGTGATTAGATACTTGAAAATCGCGCGGCAACTTTAAATTATTAATGAAATGCGATGTCAATCTTTCTCAGTCGTGTGTTAGCCTTTATAATATATTAAAAAATCCTATATAACAATTAAAGAATAACAATTTCTATAATTTATAGAAATACCTTATACTTTTATATTTTGTTACATCGGATTTAAATTTGTATATATACATAATTATACAATATAAATGAGAATTTTTATTTCTTTAATTTTACTCTTAATAGGAATTGATTAAATTTTGTTTCAATATGCTGATGAATCGGTGAGAATATTCAAGAATATTTAGCGTCCGTCACGTATCATATTTAAAGCATATGTACGAGTATTATGAAGAACAGAATGCCCTGTCAGCTGATGAACTTCGCAATTTGATAAGCTAAGATGTATATTTTATAAAATCACAATAGCGTATTCAAATGTATATCAGTTTCGTAATTTATGGAAGAGTAGGTATTACAAATAGTTCTAAAAACATCAGGAATCACGTTGCAATATACAATTTGCTATAACAAAATTCTTAGAAACCGTGCAGCTTTAAAATAAACTAAAATTTTAGCTTTTAATGAAAATTCAGTTTGAAAAAACTCAAGTTCTTAATTAATTTTTAAATGTAATTCTTATTTCTAATTCTTATTTCTATTTCTTATGTCATACACATTAAGAATATCTTTTCGATGTCCAATCATTATCGTTACTGACTTAAAATCTGCATTTATTATTATTATTATATTTACGTCAAAGGCGATTCATACGGAGTGACTTTACTCGCTTTCAGCAAGCATCTTAGAGCTTCTGTTTAACGTGCAAAAGTCGTGGCTTGTCCTTCTTACATATGTAAACTTTTTTCCGATTTTTCACGTACATTGCCTGACCCTCATGCGTCAATACTTCTCCGTAATTATCGTCGAGTCATGCTGAGAAACGCGAAGTGAATGAGATCTTTTCGTACGAAGTTGACTCACCCGTTGTCAATGTCAGGATAACAGCTAGCAGTAACATAGCGGCGACGTGGATGGGTTTCTTATACCCTCCGCCTGGAGGATCTCGCCACATCCTTATTGTGACTCTTCCGAGTGCACTGATTTTCACCTGATTTCACATAAAATACACTGAATGAACGATATGCAGAATACACACACTGATAGTAAGATCATCGCCGATAGTCTGCTTCAATAATATTTCAATAATAATCGAAATAAGAAAATTTACTTTGAGACACATTTAACTATTTCATCATAAGTTGAAGACTTGACAGATAAACACGAAAAAACTCTTACTTATTGTTAGTTCAAGGCCAATTGATCAATAACTGTTGAAAGCACAATCACTTTCAACGTGTGTGGCAATTTAGCATGCATTAAACAATTTGCGTAATAGGCAAATGAAATTAATCGTTCTCTGCTAGTAAAACTTGATTAGATTAGGCAACAAGACTGACACCTTGTGAACCCCGATTAGTCGGTCATAATAATAAACATATCTGATACATTAATCAGTTCTGATTAAGTGATTATTAAAGGATTTAAAATTAAGATTGAAAATACTGGTACGTCCGGCACACGCTAGCATGGAAATAAAATTGTTACATTAAATGTAGTTGTTTTTGCGTAACAATTTTCTCTGTGAGAAATTTAAATTTATAAATATTTATTAAATTTTGCAAATTTTATTTATAGAATAACCATTGGAGAAGTTGAAATCAAATAGCTATTTTCTAACAAAAATAGCAGCATGGAAAAACTTACTCCATAAAAGTAACTATATAGTTATAGTTACAGTTAAAAAGAAACAAGTCGCTATATATACTTTTCAGTTACTTTTCTGTTAACATTTTGCAATGTTTTGCATTATTATTTTAAATACAAGAATTTTCAGATTTATACATTTCTAATATTCTAAATTATTTTATTTATTATATTACTATCATATTCGATCATACGCTGTATTTATATTTATAATAAATAAATACATGCATTTAGAATCAAAATTATAAAATCAATATTAAAACGCATTTATATTTAAAAAAGGATCCTAATAGTTTAATTCTTAGTAGCAAACACATTTACAAAATTTGATGATCAGAAATAAATTTATACTTCGATCACAAGAAATCATCGATTGTCATCAACACCGTACGTAATTGTCCGTAGATTTAAAAAAAATACCGTTTCGCTTGATAAACTGAGAAATATTTCCTACAACCCCTATTCTTCTAACAACAATAACCCGCAGCCAGAATAGGTGATTAAGGTAGCGAGAAAAATTGTGAAAAGCATAAAGTCTCTTTGACATCCGTTGGTCCGCGATAATCCACAGAACGCGAAAGCGCTATGCCGCTATCTCGTTGCGGAACGGAGTGGAGGTGCACGTGCTGAATCGCTGATAGCAAGAGTTACGG